TTCCATTACTAGGTATATATCCTAAAGAAGTGAGAGCCATGACAAGAAAAGACATATGCACACCCATGTTCATCACAGCACTATTTACAATAACCAAAAGACAGAAACAACCTAGGTGTCCATCAACCGAGGAATGGATTACCAAACTATGGCACATACACAGAATGGAATACTATGCAATGCTAAAGAATAATGTAGAATCTGCAAAACACTGCATTTCGTGGATGAACTTGGAGGATATTATGCTGAGTGAAATAAGTCAATCACAAAAGGACAAATAATGTATTAGTCTGTTATTGTAAAAGTCAAGAAAAAGATTATCTATGGGAGGAAATTCTCTTTGTTGGTTTCCAGGGATGGACAGAGATAAGTATTGATTTGGGTGAAGAGAAAGGCAATGTACCAAATGTGAGTGATCAATATGGTGGCATTGAGGAAGACAAAGATAGAGAAAGGTACAAGGGAGGTACAGAGAACAAAGATGAACCCTTTTGCACATACAGTACTGTGTTGTCAGTGAAGGCAAACATGGGTATACGGTGGACAGATGGGTGGACAGGCTGAACTAATAGGTATGTCTATGAAGCGGGGAGTGTGCCCAAGAACATATATACGGTTGGCAGACAATGGTCCTATAAGTTTATGTGTATCATCTGAATTCCCAGGTGTATAGTAGAGCTGACAAGGGACAAGGTTGTAGTCACTACCTGGTCACTGCCAGCTACCCAGAGGGACCGAGTAGTTGAACCTGTGGGCTCAGGACCACAGTCGCAGGGAGCATCAAGCTCAATCGGCATAACATACTACACAAAACATTGTTCCACCTGCTACTTTGTTAAGTAGCGACTGGGATCTTAAAAGCTTGCAAGCTGCCATCTAGATGCAACGATGGGTCTCTCCTCATCCACAGCAAAAAAGAATGAAGAAAACCAAAAATTCATGGAAACAATTAGTCCTAGCGACTGGTACACCATCCGATCTGCAGCCTATATGACTGTGAGGACCAGAAGAATTAGATGGTGCCCAGCTACCACTGTCAACCACTTGGAAGGGGATCTATGTAGGAGATCCTGGATAGAGAGAGAGAACAATGTGGACAAAACTCAAAATCATTTAGAGAGAAAAAAAAGGTGAGGGACCAGGTTTGTTGGTCCGATAGAGCCTGTTGGAACCACTGAGACTATGGCCCCTAGCTGCCTTCAGGTCTGGAATTGAACCTACACCTGTGGCTTCCAGCCAACCCAAAGACAGGCATATGAGTTGAACATTTACCTGAAGTAGATACATTCCTTGGAGACAACAATCATGGGAGAAAGAAGGGCTGCTTATGTAAAGGGAGACAGCTCAGGGGGCAGGAGTGCAACAGAGGGTTGGACACAGGGAAGAGGTGGGAGGGGAGCTGATGCATTGTGGTAAATTGTGGTCAATGTCATGAGACAAAGTGTATATGAACCACTGTATGGAAAGTGAATTTGCTCTGTAAATTTTCACCCAAATCACAATTAACAAAAACAGTAAAATTTAAAAAATAAACAGAAAAAAAATGGGCAGAAAACATGAATACACACTTCACCAAGTAGGATATTCAGGCGGCCAACAAACATGAAAAAATGCTCACGATCATTAGCCATTAGAGAGATGCAAATCAAAACAACAATAAGATACCATCTGGCCCCAGCACTAACAGCAAAGGTCAACAAGACAGAAAATAACAAATGCTGGCAAGGACACAGAGAAATTGGAACTCTCATACACTGATGGTGGGACTGTAAAATGGTACCACCACTGTGGAAAGCAGTATGGCTATTCCTTAAAAAGTTGGAAATAGAGATATCATTTGATCCAGCCTTTATATATTAGGATATATACATTCTAGGTATATATCCTAAAGAAGTGAGAGCCATAACAAGAACAGACATAGGCACACTCATGTTCATTGCAGCACTATTTAGGGATGGCAGACAATGGTTCTACAAGTGTATTAGTATGTTCTGTAAGAATTCCCAGGGGGTACAGTAGAGCTGACAAGGGACAAGGTTGTAGTCACTTCTTGGTCACAGCCAGCTACCCAGAGGGAGAAAGTCCTGTGGGCTCAGGACCATAGTTGCAGAGGACATCAAGCTCAATTAGCATAACATACTGCACAAAACATTGTTCCACCTCCTACTTTGGCGTGTAGCTACTAGGATCTTAAAAGCTTGCAAGCAGCCATCTAGATGCAACAATGGGTCTCTCCTCATCTAGAGCAAAGAATGAAGAAAACCAAAAATTCATGGAAACAATTAGTACTCACAACTGGGCATCATGCAATCTGCAGCCTATACAACTATGAGACCAGAAGAACTAGATGGTGCCCGGCTACGACTGTCAACCACTCAGAGGGGGATCTATATAGGAGATCCCGGATAGAGAGGGAGAACAATGTGGAACAAAACTTACAATCATTTGGGAAAAAAAAAGGGACCAGGTTTGCTAGTCTGACAGAGTCTGGTGGAACCACTGAGACTATGGTCCCTAGCTGCCCTTCATGTCTGGAATGGAGCCCACACTTGTGGCTTTCTGCCAAACAAAAGATAGGCAAAAGATTTGAACATGTACCTGAGGTAGATGAACTCCCTGGAGAGAACAATCATGGGAGAAAGAAGGGCTGTTTATGCACAGGGAGACAGTTTGGGGTCAGGAGTGCATGGAGGGATGGACACAGGGAGGAGGTAGCTATCAGGAGGAAGTGGGAGTGGAGCTGTTGCACTGGGCTAAACTGTAGTCAATGTCATAAGACAATGTGTGTGTGAACTGCTGTATGGAAATGAATTTGCTCTGTAAACTTTCACCCAAATCACAATTAAAAAAAATAATAAGAAGAATAGCATACATATATCTCAGTGACTTGACTGGTGAAATGCTGTTAGGTGCCATAAAGTCAACTTTGACTCATAGTGACTCCATGTGACAGTGCAGAACTGCCCTGTAAGGTTTTCTAGGCTGAATCTTTATGGTACCAGATCAGGTCTTTCTCCCACAGTGCCAAGGGATAGATCCAAATTGCCAATCTTTTCTAGCAGCCAAGAGCTCAACTATTGTGCCAGCAGGGCTCCTTCCACTTCTTGAACAGCCTCTCCTTTTACCAGAATGAAAATAACATATATGTATTATCACTGACTTCATTACTAAGATAGGAAAATAAAAAAGAATGGCTGGTGGAATCTTTAACCAACACTCCAAAATTCCAGGGTAGTGCAAGTTAAGAGAAGGAACTGACAAAAATAATTTGAAGGTCTTGCAACCTAGCATTACTTTACTACTCTGTGTTGTGTGCCTTTTAGCCCACCTTGAGTTCATTCAGAGTCATTAAATTGCTTTTGCTAATGTATAAAACATGGATAGAACAATAAGATGATTTATAAGTGCAGTGACAGACCATGGAAAATAAACTATATAAATAAAGAGGAAGACAAAAACATAGACAGTGAAAAAGTCAATGGACTTGAGGTCCAGATGAAGGAAAACAGTTGAGGTGAGGACAACTAGTGAGTTAGAAGGATAAGAGGTGATGGTCAGGAAGAGATGCCTGAAATCAAGATTTAGGAAGCAGTAATGGTAAGGTCTAGGACAAGAAAAGCTGAGATGAGGTGGCAGTGAAGATTGAGAAAATAAGCGGTAAAGATCAATAGAAATATGGAGTTCAAAAATGGAGATGGGGAGTTCAACTAGGAAAGTGCTCATTTCACCAAAACTGAATACATACGTAAGTATTAGTGAAGAAAATATTTTTAAAATCTATACACAAAAAATACATATATAAATAAAAAATATATACACACACATACACTTTTATACACAGAAAACTATTATTTATATTACTAAATGTAGCTTACAGTAATTGATAGAAATAATATTCTCAAAGGAGCTAAATTTTCTTACCGTTTGAGATGTTTCTGCTGCTGCAGCTGCCATTGCAGCGGCTTTAGCCTTCTCAGCTTCATCATATGTAGGAAGAGATGTAGCAACACTGTAGGGAGGTGGCACAGGATAAAACTCACTGTAAGTTTCTGTATCTGAAAAGAAAATGGTAACCATTAAAACATGTGATATCATTTTTATACTGACATAACCATAAGCTAATAATTTACAAAATACTACTACTACAAGGTATACAGCACACAAATTACTCTTATAATCCTATGTTATTTTAGTCTAACATAAAGAGTCTTATAAATATTATCTAAAGGCTGATAGAACAAGAACCTCCAGGAAAAGATTTTGAAAAAGAGGTTCACATAAGAGAGGTAAAAAACAAAACATGTGTACCTTTTATTTGTCTGTTATTATACTGGCCACAGCTATATCTCATTTTTTTAAATTTTATTTTGTTGTTGTTTAGAATATACACAGCAAAACATACACCTATTCAATCATTTCTATATGCGCAATTCTGTGACACTGATTACATTTGAGTTGTAAAACCATACTCACCCTCCTTTTCCATGTAGTCAATCATCCATTAACATAAACTCACTTTCCTCTACTCCCTCTACTGTTCCTATCTAACCTTCTGAGCTGCTGTCGTCATGTTAATTTCATATACTAGATAGTTCTTAAAAGAACAAAATGCTCAAGGCAGTCATTTTCTATTAGTTAAGCTAAACTACTTGGTTTTTGGAAGACTTCAGAGGATATTTTTGGTTTAAAGTTTAAAGATTATCTCAGGGCAATAGTTTCAGGGGTTCACTAGTCCCCATAGCTCCAGAAAGTCTGGAGTCCATGATAATTGAATATCTGCTCTATATTGTCTCCTTTTGATCAAGATTCTTCTACCGAATCAAAATGTTCAATAATGTTAGCCAGGCACCATTCCCCTCTTCCAGTCTCATGGCAAAGGGAGCAGTTGTTCATGAAGGCAATCACCCACATATCCATATCCTCCTCTCCTCTTATTCCATACTCTCCCTCTTTCTCTGTTGCTTCAGGCAAATAGAAACCAACTGTCATGCTTTAAATGGCTGCCTCCGAGCTTTTAAGACCCCAGGTGCTACGAAATGAATTAGGAAGGAGAACTGAAGCACTACACAAGTTACTAGGCCAATTAACTGGCCCAAGAAACCAAGAACTAAGAAAGTAAATCACATGAGGTCGTCTGAATGTGCAGTACATAAGCAGGCTCAGCAGCTACTCTTTGCTACTGTTGTTGTTATGGTGGTATATATGTATCACCAAGTTAAAGATGAAGAAACAGAGACTCAGAATTTACTTGCCCATTATCTGACAGCCAAAAAGTAGAAATAGAAAAGTCAGGAAGAATAATAAACATTTATATAGTACTCAACATTTCACACCAAACCCAACCCAACCCATTGTCACTGAGTCGATTACAATTCACAGTGATCCCCACAGGGTTTCCAAGGCTAAAAATCTTTATATATACAAACAGACTGCCTCATCTTTCTCCTGCAGAGAGGCTGGTGAGTTTGAATCACTGACCTTTTGACTAGCAGTCCAATGTCTTTATTACAGCACCACCACAGCTCCTTAAATATTTTACCAAGTGCTTCTATATAATAAAGTACACACTCTCTTCACTTATCAACTATCTCATTTTCCAACATTTCACATTTACAACAACATTAAAGTAATATACTATCCAAATACTTCTCACATTAAGGACATACATCTGGCAGTAACAAACACCAAGTGCCAGGTGAGAATAGCAGTGGTTATGATGGTTAAAGCTATGTGTCAACTTGGCTGGACCATGATTCTCGTTGGATCAGTAATTATATAATGATGTAATCTGGCAGTTATGTAATTATGTAACCATCCTCCATTTTCGCATAATGCCAAATTTCACATAATGACCTGGTTTTTGGAACCTAACCATGTGAGAAGAGGGTGTAATCTTAGCAATTCTGAGGCTCAAAAAAGTTAGAGGACTTGCCCAGTATTACATAGCTGTCCAATGTCAGAACCAAGGATTTATCTGACTCCAAAAACTATGCCCTGATAACATGCGTAGTGCCTAAGGCACTTGACTGCTAACCAGAAGGCTGGCGGTTCAAACCCACCAGCCACTCCTCAGAAGGAAGATGGGGCAATCTACTTCTGTAGTGATACTGCCTCGGAAACCCAAGGAGGGGTCGCTATGAGTCAGGTCCAACTCGACGGTATATAACAACAACAACAACAATTTTCAGAATATCATTTTCTCCAAAATTCCATAAAACAAACATAAACATAAACTTAGTTGATGAAAAGCAAAATCTAATATATTTATTTCACTTTTTATTACCTTGATCTATATGTCAGTGTCAGCAACTGTTCTAAATTCCTATGCTAATTTAATTACAGGAGCTCTGGTAGTGTAGTGCCTAAGGCACTTGACTACTAACCAGAAGGCTGCTGGTTCAAACCCACAGCCACTTCTCAGAAGAAAGGTTGGGGAATCTACTTCCATAGTGATACTGCCTCAGAAACCCAAAGAGGGGTCGCTATGAGTCGGGTATGATTCAATGGCACATAATAACAACAATTTAGTTAGTATCCATCTTTACTTAAGTATAAGTCCTATCTGCTAAAAGATTTCCCCTTTCACTCTTTCCTTTTTCTCTTCCCATTTCCCTATATCAACCTAGTTCTTTAAATTTCTTTTTCATGAAGTATTTCTCATTCCTAAATTTTTAAACTATTTTTGATACTATCTCTAGATATATAATAGTAAGTACAGACCACTTGTTAAAAAAAAAGATGCATTACCAATTTCCAACATATGTACTTATTAAGCAAAATGATATAGGTCAATTACATTGATCAAATAAACATGTACAAATTATCCTAAAAAGAAAAAGAGGGGAAAATTAATGTAATTCTAATTATTTTAAAATTAAAAAATGTTCACTTTTATTCATTTAATTGGTGAGAAAATCTTCATGCATATGATTTTCAGGAAGTACATTTAAAAAATAAGGAAAAAAAGTGAATGAATTTGATGCAAGAAATACTGGGTCTTTTTGCACATTCCATATGGTCTAGATAAAATCTGGACATGAAACACTGGTAACCAGCAAAGTTGGCATAAATTTTGAGAACAGTAAATAACATTAATTATAGAACAAGAAATAGGAAGATGAAATACAAAGGTCTTTTATGTTACACTGATTTTCAATAGCTACTTTTAAAGTACTTTTCATAATGAATTTATAAATATATAAAATATATACAAAAGTTATCCATGTTGTTGTTGTTGTTGTTGTTGTGTGCCGTCGAATCGGCCCCAACTCATAGCGACCCCTCCTTGGGTTTCCGAGGCAGTATCACTACGGAAGTAGGATTGCCCCACCTTCCTTAGAGCAGAAAAATTATATGTGAAAAATTATATAATGACTAACTTAGCATGGTAGGGAAAATACAAAATTGTGGCCAGAAAAAGAGATGAGGATAGTTCTTTAGGATAGCTTAGAAGAATAAAATGAACAGCAGCAACTAAGATGTACCCAAGAATTATTAACATGTGCATGGGACAATATTATATACAACTTTCACCTCCACTGACACATTAATTACACATTACACTCACATATCCACCACTCATCTGTCAATTTATCATATGGTGGTGCTTGTGTGTTGTTACAATACTGGAAGCAGGATCACCTATCGTGGACAGGTTTCAGTGGGGCTTCCAGACTAAGACAACTGGGAAGAAAGACAGGGACATCCACTTATGAAAACACCGGCCACTGAAAACCTTATGATCAGGAGTAAAACACTGTCTGATACATTACTGGATAACTTTATGAGCAGAAATGAAACAATGTCTGATAAAGGGCCAGAAGATGGGTCCTTCAGTTTTGAAGGTGCTCAAAATATGACAGAGGAAGAGCTGCCTCCTCAGAGTAGAGCTGACCTTAATGATAAGTATGGGTAAAGCTTTCAGGACCTCCATTTGCTGATGAACCACAACTCAGAATGAGAAGAAACTGCTGCAAATATCCATTAATAATTGGAATATGGAATGCACAAAGCATAAATCTAAGAAAACTGGAAGTTGTCAAAAATGAAATGGAATGCATAAAGATCAAGAACCTAGTTATTAGTGAGCTGAAATGGACTGGTTTTGGATATTCTGAATCACACAACCATATGATCTACTATGCTGGGAATGACAAATTAAAAAGGAATGGTATGGCATTCATTGTCACAAAGATTGATCCTGAAGTACAATACTGTCAGTGACAGGAAAATACCCAAACGCTTACAAGGAAGACCAGTTAATACTACTATTATTCAAATTTATGCATCAACCAGCAAAGCCAAAAATGAGGAAACTGAAGATTTCTACCACCTTCTGTAGTCTGAAATTGACCGAACATGCAATCAAGATGTTTTGATTATCACTGGTGACGGGAATGCAAAAGTTGGAAACAAAGAAGAATCACTGGTAGTTGGAAAGTATGGCCTTGGTGATAGAAATAATACTGGAGATCGCATGACAGAATTTTGCAAGTCCAACAACTTATTCATTGCAAATACTTTTTCAACAACATTAACAGCAGCTATACACATGGACTTTGCCAGATGGAATAAACAGGACTCAGACTGACTACATCTGTGGCAAGAAGTGATAGAGAAGCTCAGTATCTTCAGCCAAAACAAGGCCAGGAGCTGTTTGTGGAACAGACCATCAACTGCTCATATGGTAGTCCAAGGTGAAGTTGAAGACACTTAAAACAAGTCTATGAGCGGGAAAATATGACCTTGATTATAACCCTCCTGAATTTAGAGACCATCTAAAATATATATCTGATGCACTGAACACCAGTGACTGAAAACCAGAAGAATTATGTGATGACATCAAGAACATCATCCATGAAGAAAGCAAGAGGTCACTGAAAAGACAGGAAAGGAAGAAAAGACCAAAACGAATGTCAGAAGAGGCTATGAAACTTGCCCTTGAGTAGAGAGTAGCTAAAGCCAATGCAAGAAATGACAGGATAAAAGAGTTGAATGAAGATTTCAAAGGGAAGCTTGAGAAGACAGAGCCAATTATTATAATGAAATGTGCAAA